TTCTTACCAATAATGGATCAAGATCTTTGTGTCTTCAACCCTACCTAGCACTCCCTAAGTCTTGTCTCTTTGGGAACAGGTTTGCTGATATCTCATTGTAGGTTTCAAGTGCATTGATCTAATGCTAGTGATGTTGACAACTGGTTTAAAACTGTTGACTTTTTTAAGTCTTTTTAGAGAAATGTTTATTGAAATCCTCTGGCCATTTAACTATTGTGTTGCTTAAGTTTCTAACCACATCGAGGTGGTGATTCCCTATGAGACGCAGGGCGGCTTGCAAACACTTCCGTCTGCGGATCGTCTCCACTTCGTTGATATTTCCGCGTTGTGCAGAAGCGTTTTAGCTCGGTGCAATCCCACTGGCGTCTGTTTTCACCGCTGTTGCTTGTGCTTTTTGTATCGTAGTCGAACAATCATTGCCCAAACTCGTGTCAAAAACACCCCTGCTTCCCTTTTGTAGACCCATGGCTTCAGGTCTCCCTTTAATCCATTTTGAATTGATTTTTGTGCAGGGCTTGAGTTAAGGTCCTAATTTTATTCTCCTGTAGAGGATGAGGTGATTTCTCTAACACCATTTATTGACGAAACTGTTCTTCACCCACTGTGAACTCTTGGAGGACACAATGAACATTTCTGAAAACAATCGTAACTAGAACTGCGATGTGACTTACCAGTCTCACCTCTGAGAGTGTACATCTACAAACAAAATCAGAATCTCAAGAAGATACCTGGACTCTCCTGTTCATTTCAGCACTGACTTCAACAGCTATAACAGACAGCCTAGGTGTCTGTGGTGGATGGATGGATAAAGATGAATGAAGACACACACACACACACACACACACACACACACACGCACGCACGCACACACATGCACACGCACATGCACAAGCACACATACACGCACACAAATACCCTGGAATATCATCGAGCATTTAAAAATAAGTTTACAAATTCTTAGATCAATCTGCAGCATACTATGCAGAGGAACATCTGCCAGATATGTGTTCACTTAAATATGGAATCTAAAATACCATTTTGTGGAGACAAAGAGCAGAATGGAAATACAGTATACAACAGTGTGACCATTGTTAACAGTACTAAATAATAGTATGTAGCCCAGTTGGATCTCAAACTTACAGAGATCCTCATACCTCTGCATTTTTGTGCTGGGATTGAAGATGTGTCACCATGCTAGCCATAGGTACAATTTTAAGGATAAAATATGATTTTAATGGTAAAAGAAAATTCAAAAATTATTTTCTTGATAGATAATTATTGGGCTTAAATTGAAAGACTTTCTAGGTCTTAGATAACATTGTTCCAAAAGTGACTTTTGGTCTTAGCTAGATTATTTACTGTTCTATTTTTGAAAGGTCATAGCATTCTTAGCTGCTCTTGGCCTTGATTCCTTTTGGACAAAGAATTGCAAGAAAGTTTGTTTGCTTTGTTCTTTCAAAATAGCCACTCTTTTATCAACTAACTTTACTATAAAAACAAATTGTTGCTGAATGTAAGATTTAAAGGTTTATTTTTCCAAAATTTTTCTTAGTACTATATTCCTATACTCTCTCCATTAATTACAAAGTTGACCATGGTTTTATGCCTTTTTAACAGAAGAAAAATATTGAGACAGTGTGTTCCCTAAAATTAAAATGTCATATATAAGTACATGGGAAAATACTGGCTGGTCAGTATTAATTGTCAATCTCACTGGGCTGGTGTTTGGCTAGCAACACATTCTGGGTGTGCTTTTGAGGGGGACTTTTTGATGAGAGTAATGTTTGGATCTTGCCAATGGGAGCCTCATCTAATTAACTCAAATCCTAAGTTATATCCAGAGACCGATTGCAAAGGAGCTCCTTCGTTTGGCCACTTGAGGTGAGCTACCAGTCTTTTTTTTTCTTCAGACTAGAACTAGACTTCAGTTTCTTTGGAATCTCAGGCTGGCGGCTTTAGGCTGTACTACCCCACTGATTGCCCTGGTTCTCCAGCTGGCCAGCTAGAGAAAGTGTTATTTCGCAGGCCACACAATGATATGGGTCAGTTACCAACAATCAGTGTCTCCTTTATATGCTTCTCTTTACCTTTCCATTGATGGCATGACAACAGGTAAACCCACAGTGGTAGAAGCTTGCTCACATCTTGATAGATCAAGAAGCCGAGAGGTCAAGATGAAATCAGACCAGGCCATAATCTTTATGGTATCTCCCCCAGTGAAGCACTTCTTTGAGCTGGGCCTCATCTAAAATTCATCTAGCTACCCATTTCTTTGTTTCTATTGGTTTTATTTCACTGGAGAATCTTAACTTACACAGATGTGAAGTGAATATTAAGTATTGAAGATATCACATTATGGGGTAGGGATGTAGCTCAATTGGGAGAGTGCTTGCCTAGCACTCACGAGGCCCTTGGTTTAATATCTGGCACTATATAAATTGGGCATGATGGCACATACCTTTCATTCTAGCACTAGAGAGATGGAATCAGAAGGATCAGAAATTCAAGGTTTGGCTGGAGAGAAGACTCAGCAGTTAAGAGCACTTGCTGCTCTTGAAGAGGACATAGGTTCACTTCATAGCACCCACATGGCAGCTCACAGCCATCTGTACCCTCCATTTCCAGGGGATCCAGTGCCTTTACAGGCACAAGGTACATACAAGAAACACATATATACATGCAGACAAAACATACACATAAAGTAAATAAGTCTAAAAAATTAATTAAATATGAGAAATTCAAAGTCATCCTCAGCTAAATAACATGGTGAAGCAAATCTGGAATAAATGAGACCTTAACTCAACAAAAGGGAAAGAAAAATTTAAAAAGCAGAAAAGAAAAGATAAAGAAAATGAGAAAAAGGAAGACATTATACTGTATTTAATGAATATGTACATTGCTATATATTAAAAAATAAAATAAGGGTCAAGAAGAAATTTTAAGTACCTGATTTATTTTTACATATAATTAATTATCACAATGATACCTTGTATGTAGAATTAAAGTAATAATAAAAAATAAAAAGCATACTACTCATAAAAATTTTGTTCTTTTTAGGAGCAGAGGTCAGGAGATGACAGGTATCCATGGAAACAGAGCTAGGACAAAATCTATTTTATAGATCCATTTTTTGGCATATGTTTTCAGTGTAATTTCTGCATTAAATTATGGTAGTTGCTTACATTTTCAAATTGAACTTTCATTTATTTATTTGAAAATGCAAAGGTAACTATGTGTTATGGTCATAAGACTTACTATCCTACTGACCTGCTCAGTATATCTCATTGTATGATTGCTTCAGATAAATAACTAGATAATTATTTTTGATAAAAACTATGTTTTCTTTTCCCTAATCTATAATGCATTATTCACCCTAAGGATCATGGAAATATTTAACACTCATGTGTTTCATGTCTTTAACACAAGCATTTCATGTCTTCGTTTGACCAGATATCCACGAGGCTGTAAAGTTGTTTCTGTGGTGTAGATGCAGAATGTCTCCAAAACTCATCTGCTAAAGGTTTGGTTGTGAGGCTTTGTGCTATGGACTTTTAGGAGATGATCCCTACTTAGAAAGACTAGAACATTGGAATCATGCCCTTCAAAGGATATTGGAATCTTGACGCATTCCTTGCTTCTGTTTTGCTTTCTGGCTTCCGTGAGTTGAGCAGCCTCCTCTGTTGTGTGCTCCCTCTGTGATGATGCTCCTCACCACAGGCCAGAACCCAGGAGAATTAACTGACAGCAGACTAAGACCACTGAGACCATAAGCCAAAAAATGTTCTTCTTTGAATTTCTTTTCTGCTGTATTTTATAACAGCAGTAGAAATTGGAGACAGTGTCTTTCTTAATTTTATTTTTGACCAGTTATGGTTTTATAGTAATTTTAATATTTTCTATAAATAACTTGTAATAGAATTTATCAGGAAATAAAGATATTATTCAGTGAATAAGAGTCTGACAAATCAGAAGTCTGAAGATCAGCTTTCATATAAACCTTTTTAAATCAATAATAACTTTATAAAATTCTTAATCTGGCCAATCTTCTTGTAGTCTACAAATTTCATGTTGAATGGAGTCTTTCAAGATGAAGTGATCCAGTGATATAGAAAAAAATAGATTGACTAATATCACAAGCACAAATTCATAGAGAATTAAGGTGCTAGCAAGGATCCTATGCATTGTTTTCATTTTTATTTATTTTGGTTTTTCAAGACAGGGTTTCTCTGTGTAGCCCTGGCTGTGTTAGAATTTGCTTTGCAGACCAAGTTGACCTCAAACTCACAGAGATCCTCCTGCTTCTGCCGCCCAAGTGCTGGGATTAAAGCTGTGCACTGCCAATGCCTGGCCTATTGTTTTTATTTTTATATTTGGGCTCATGTGTCTTTTTATTACTCATTTAAAAATGTTTAAGGTGTATAAAAAAACATGTTACAATTGTTAGTTATTTTCTGGCGCTGTGCTCTTACCCTTCAAGGAAATGTCACAAAACATGATAGAATCCGCTAATAAGAGTTTTATTAAAGATAAAAGGGACAGAGAGTGTGCAGGCCTGTGGGAGAGACACATGTGTGGAGAAGAAGAACAGGGAACATGGCGCTGGCTTTTAAAGGCTGGGCGTGCACAGGTCAATGTCACTACTCCACACATGCGCAGATCACATGGCTACATTGCGTGCTTACGTAAGCATGCAAAGTCACGGATCCTGACCCGGAAATGGCTATCCTGACCTGGAACTGGCTAGGCGGATGTGTCCAGGTCCACCAGGCATATGCAAACATACCCAACCGTGGGGATGTGTGAACCCTTCAACAATGTTTTAAGAAACTACCCAAAGACAATTTCTCTTCACTCCTTCCCTTCATTCCCCTGTAATTTTGTTTTAAAATTTCAGTTCCAATCATAAGTATTATAGACTGAATTGTCTTATCTCTCAATTCATGCTGAAGACCTAACCTCCAGTGTGGCTGTCATTGCAGATTGGCTTATAAAGGTATAATTAAGGTTAAAGAGTCATGTGAGTAGTGTCCTAATCCATTATGACTCATGTCTTTTATTAAGGGATGAGCCATACAAGGCCTGTATGGGATGTAAGGGTACAGCTAGAAGGCAGCCATCTGAAAACTAAGCAAAGAGGTGCTAGAAATACCTTTTCAGGTATCTTGATCTTAGTCTCTAGCCACCAGGACAAGGAGAAATAAACTTCAGTTGATTACAACAAAGAGTGTGATATTTTGTTGTGATGATGCAAGGAGATGATTAATAGTCTAGGCAAATATTTTCCAAACTGTCTCTTCAGGTAGAATGCAATGTTCCTTGGTGATTTCGTATCTCAATTGGAAACACAGGTAGCAAAGCTGTATCTGCTCACAGTGTCATGGCTGTTTGCATTGAAACCTTATAATTCTTATCACCTCTGCTGTTTCCTATTGTCATTTATTTGACTTGGTTACATCATTACTCATGATGCTTTATCATTCATCATGCCCCCGTTAAGTGAAAGCTGGCTTCCCAAGATGCTAAAGACTGTTTCTGTGCTTCCATGATAATGACCTGTGTGCAAGAAAATATGAATCACACACAATGTATTTTCTAGACATGCTAAATTTATCTTTTAAAACTTTATAGAGTATGTATAGAGGTACACACCTTCCAGCCATGTCTTATTTGAATTCTGTAGGTGGCAGTCATTGTGTCCTAACACTGTGGGCACTAGGGATGTATGTGGTGTACAGGCATACGTGCAGGCAAAATGTTCAGATACACAAGATACATTGAATAAGGAAAAAGATATCTTTAAAAAAGAATTAACCTTTAAAGGGAGGCATAAAACTCGGAAATACAGATACAGTGGTTTCCTTGTGTCTAAGGGTAATAACAGGCCTTTACAAAATGCAAATTATTTTCTGTCTGGTGACTGGTTAAGCAGATATCTTCTTATATTTTCTTGTAGTCATTTAGTTTTTAAGGATGTTTGATTGATAATCAATTTCCTTTTCCAATAAAGGCAGGCTTTGAACTTGGGTTTATATAACATGAAAACTCCTTTCTACTATGCCCAAATTAAGCAGTTATTTGATGCAGTAATAGTATTTTCTTCTTCTACAAACTCACCATCTTTCTATATCTTCTTTCTTTACACATTAAGAAATGCCCAACAGTCCAATTAAGAAATGGGCTATAGAACTAAACAGAGAATTCTCAACAGAGGAAACTCAAATGGCTGAAAGACATTTAAGGAATTGTTCAACATCCCTAATTATCAGGGAAATGCAAATCAAAACAACTCTGAGATACCACCTTATGCCCGTCAGAATGGCTAAGATCAAAAACACTGAAGACACCTTATGCTGGAGAGAATGTGGAGCTAGGGGAACTCTCCTCCACTGCTGATGGGAATGCAAGCTTGTACAACCCAGCTGGACCAAGAACAGAGAGGGAGAACAAGAGACAAGAGACTATGATAATGAAGACCACATGAGAATAGGAAGAAGCAAAGTGCTAGAGAGGCCCACAGAAATCCACAAAGATACCCCCACAATAGACTGCTGGCAATGGTCGAGAGACAGCCCGAACTGACCTACTCTGGTGATAGGATGGCCAAACACCCTAATTGTAGTGCTAGAAACCCCATCCAATGACTGAGGAAACTGGATGCAGAGATACACGGCTAGGCCCCGGTGGAGCTCTGGGAGTCCAACTAGCAAGAAAGAGGAGGGTTTATTTGAGCGAAAATTGTTGAGACCAAGGTTGGATAAAGCACAGGGACAAATAGCCAAACGAATGGAAACACATGAACTATGAACTATGAACCAAAGGCTGAGGGGCCCCTAACTGGATCGGGCCCTCTGAATAGGTGAGACAGTTGATTGGCTTGATCTGTTTGGGAGGCATCCAGGCAGTGGGACAGGGTCCTGTGCTCATTGCATGAGTTGGCTGTTTGAAACCTGGGGCTTATTCAGGGATACTTGGCTCAGCCTGGGAGGAGGGGACTGGACCTGCCTGGACTG